AAACAATAATGATAACAATCAATTATATAAATACAAAGGTTGAACTTGATACGACATAGTTACAATTTATTCATTGATACGAATTGTATTCGTTAATATTATTGGTACAACATTGATACGAATGATAACAATCGACTACTTGAACTTGATACAATTGTATTCGTTGATACAATTGACATTGATACACATTCTATTCGTTAATACAATTGTATTGATTGATACATATACATACTAATTATATATCAAATATACAAATACAATTGTTGATATACATATATATATTAGTTACTTATTTACAATTGTCCAACAATTATACAAATATAATTTGTCTCTCTCCATTCTCGGGTCTCTCTCTTGCTCGCCTCTCTCCTCTCTCTCATAGTCTCCCTCGCATTTCTCCACTTCTAACATGTAGTTATGAATCGTAATCAAGTAAACTATAGCTATTTTGCCTCATAATGTTTGAAGCCTTTGCTATTTTTGAAAGTTCCTCACAAAAAATTGGCACAACAAACCAAGTATCAACAAAGACATCAAATTAATATTCATTACCAATGTTTTAAGAAATTGACATGTATATACAATAATAACACATTTTATTGATATACTTCTAATAAATTTATCTCAAATTATTGCATTTCATGATTCTCTCGCTTGATGAACCAGTTGTTGTTTCTGCTAAACATGTAGAGTTTGTGTTAAACATACGCAACCGACACTTTTGTACTTCATTATATTCGATCAACATACATTCAGGAAAATCAATGTTTGATTTATTTTTTTTACTATAAATTTTTTTCTTAATTACATATAGTGTTATTCAAGTTTTTTAAAAATAAAATATAGTATTTTTCATTAACTTGGTTCTCCCTATTGTTCAGTCAACCTCTATTAAGAAGCATTGATATTTCAAGGAATTGTCCACAAATTTATTTTGAAAGAAGTAGTTATTCTCTCTTTCAGTATGACACATGACGCCACTCACTCGATCTTTGATTTACCATTGTAAAAAATGTGACTTATCAAATAAATATTTGTACCTTTATTTAATTGTTATATACATTATGAACAACTTGTGTATCAACGTAGTATGTGACATCTTGAACACATTGAAATAAATATAAAACTTTGAACATTGCTTAAATTAGTGTATGAAATTAGATATTAATTGTGTATCAAACTTGAATAGGTGTTAGTGATATAAGAGTTGTATGTGAACTAAGATGTCTGAAAAATATGAATGAGTTATGTATACCATATGTATAAAAAACTAGTATGTTAAAAGTTGAATCTTCATATAATTTAAATACATATGAATTACTACATTTTGCTTCTTACCTGTTCTTACATCTCGACAATTCACGTCCCTACTGAATTTCGGTCGGACAATCTATGATATACTCCCTTAGCTGGAGACTAACACCTTGTTTGGATGGTTGTTACCCGTTGTATAGTATTGTTGGTCTAAATACCATGTTTTGTTTTAGTTGTTACTTAAATTCTATTGTATCGTGTTGTTTAAATCCATCGTTAGGTAACAATGAAAAGGGAAAGGTTGTTTGTTGCATTTAACATTTTGAGTATATAAATATTGAACGATAGCAACTACATGGTGAACTAGTCGAATTGCTAAACCAACCAAGACAATATAGTTAATTGGTATGGAAGTATGGAACCATAGCTACTACCATAATAGCTTTGTGCAGACTGTTCTAAAACAAGATAAAAAATTGGTACCAGTAATATCCTAAACTTTTAACATCTGTTCAACACTAAAAGGAAATAAAGTGCAGAAGCCAAGTTGGCCAGAATCTTGAAATAATATACTCAATGCAGCAAATCTTAACTATTACTCAATGGCTTAAAAGAAAATGGGAAAGGAGAACTCTTTTTCAAATTTGGAACAAAAAGAAATAAGGTTTGATCCATAAAGGAAGTCTAATAATCTTCTCATAAAAAAGATGGGAATGCTAAAACCAAGAATACAAATATCTGAAAGGCTGCTTGCAAATTAAATTATGTATTACTAAACAAAACAAAACATTTAGGGTCCAAACTACAAAACTTAACTTTATCCACGTTGCAAAAGCGTGAAATTGACTTGGAACAGTGGATTTAGCGACCGAGACAGTTTAAGCAGGGGTGGCAGATTGAGCAGCCATCCTCTTCCGTGCCTCCTCGATGATGGTCAACTTAATTCCTTTACCTTTGGGTAGTGAAACCCACGGCTTAGTACCCTTACCAAGAGTGAACACATTTCCCAAACGTGTAGCAAATTCATGACCCTGAGAATCCTGGATGTGGAGGGTCTCAAAGCTACACTTATGCTTCTCACTGTCCTTAATAACACCAACACGTCCCCTGTGTCTACCTCCAGTCACCATCACAACATTCCCAACGTCAAATTTGATGAAATCAACAATCTTATTAGATTCCAAGTCCAGCTTTATGGTATCATTGGCTTTGATGAGAGGATCAGGGCAGCGGATTGTTCTTTCGTCGTAAGTGTTCATGTATGGGATCCCCTTCTGACCAATCTGCACAGAGCGGACCTTGCAGAGCTTAAACTGACAATGGGAAAAACAACATTTAAATAAAAGCAATATACCACCAATAAACTTTGCAAGGTGAGGAAACGAATCTAACAGAGAAATTCCTCACAAAAGAAAAAATTAAAATATTAAGCTACCTTGGACTCCTCATACCTGACAGAGTGAAGACGGAATCGGCCCTTGGTGTCATAAAGTAGACGGAAGTTCTCATTAGTCTTCGGGATGGAAACAACATTTGTATATAGAAAGATAGAATTATTCATTGTTAATGAATAAAACAAGCCAGACAGCCGGAAAAAAAGGAATGAAAATTGAACCAAAACTTCTATTGACAAATAGATCATGTATCCATAGTACTCCAGAAGTTTCAATTTATATGGCTCTACCTACTTTAGAATGTTTTGAAATGTTCAACACAATTCTCTTTCTACACAACTTTAAGAAATCAAATTCATTAAATTCTTCAAAGAATTAAGAATTAAACTTTAATGTGATGTTTTATAGATCAAATTAACTTTTCAACCAGTACTTTAATACTCTTTTCAAATATACTTATAAGATAATGCAGATGTTTAAACCACGTAAACATCAAATACTGTCAATATAACATGAATAGATGATACGTCCAAACTTACACTCCAAATAAAGAGTGTAAACGATCGTTGTCAATTTACCGAACTCAACCAGAGTTGAGCTTTATCCCACAGAGAATTTCTTTACAGATAAAGTTTCACTATCGCATTTACTCAATTGTCGTTACTATTTCCTAAACAATTAACAAGGAAAGTAAAATTTGGTTTAATTGAAAAGTATTCTATCAGCAAGCAATTCCAGTCAAAACTTAGTTACACGGTTCACAAAAGATCTCATTGTAGGTTGATTCAATTAATTTAAAGAAACCAGGTTTTGTGTTCACTATGACATCGATTATAACGCTCTCCCGTAAAATTGAGTGTCAAGTAAATCAATGTTTACAGACTCTTTGCGAATTAAATAAATCTAACGCTTCTCAGCCTAATTAGATAATATTAACTCTAATTCTCTCGAACTTAAGTGTTATTTAATTAGATAATATTCACTCTAATTCTCTCGAACTTAAGTGTTATCGATAATGGACTTCACTTAATTTGATATGGTGTTAAAGATCCCTTCTCTCGAAATCCAACTTTAACTCCGATTCGTAAACTTAGTTTATATTTTTCCCAAGTGATGCTTTTCTCTCGAACAAACACCAGATACAGGCCTGTCTAAAGCGTGCACTCAATAGACTAAAATGATAATGAAAGCTGTAAACTACAAGTTGTAAACAAAGATTGCCTTTTACTCATTTTACGAAATCGCAACTAGAATATCATTATTGATCCCACACACCCAGTCGTGATGTTTAGCCACTCATGTTCTTATGCAAAGAATCAATAATAGATAATGAAAACATGTTAAGAATTACTTACAAAAATAATTGGTAAATCAACAATAACTTGATAATCTCAAGATCGAAATGAACAACGTCCCACCGATGACAATAATCTGAATCCAAAATCTAAAACTAAAGTTTTTCTCTGTTCCTCGTCGTGAAACGTCAGATAATGAATAATAATTCACAAAACGACCTAAAGTAATTCAAAATAGAATGTTTAAAATGAGTCCTAATCAATTTAGGACTGAGTTGTCGGGCCTTGTCACGGCCACTACCACGACCCGTCAAGGGTTTCACGGACCGTGAAGCCCTCCGTGGTCTTGCCTTGGAACTTCCCCAGAGTGGGTCTTCAAACTTAGTCACTGGAAAATGTACCACGAGAGACACCACGGTCCGTAGTGAGGACCACGGCCCGTGAAGTCACATGTGGTCTTTACATGGGTTTCAACATTCTTTCAACTCTTTCTTGCTTTTATACTGGTTCAGCTTCATGGTAGGTACCACGGTTCATGGTAAGAAGAACGACTCGTATAACCCTCCGTGATCTTCACTTCGTTATTCTTACTCTTCATCTTCTCAAGGCCCAGTTCCGCCCCACTTTCACGAGCTCAACCACGGACCGTAACGAAGTTAACGGTTCATGAAGTTGGCCGTGAACTTCACTTGGGCCAACATCAGTTCTGCTTCTTTTTCTGTACAACCCGGATTCTGCCTACACATTTAACAAACCCATCAAATAATCCCAAAATATCACTTAATTCCAGTATTAGTTCATAGTTATTAAGCATCAAATGTGCCACGATTTCGCAACACATCAATAGATGGTGCATTAGAAAAGATAATGAAAATAGAAGAAGTAGATAAAGAACATTTACCCATGAAACCAACAGGATATGTCTTATCTGTCCTAACTTTCCTATCAACCATAACTTGTCATTGCATCAGAATTGAGATCACCTCTCGATACGTGAGAGCATACTTCAACCTGTTTCGCATGATAATGACCAATGGCAATCACTCCTTGACTTGTGTGGCCCAGAGGATGGCTTGGGAGCCTATAGAGCAAAAGACAGAATTTTTAAAGCTAAAGCAGCTCCAAATCATCTCGAGTTACTTGGAAAATACTCAAAGATAATGCACTTACAAATGCTCCACCAAGTTTATCAATCATCTAATGCTTTGGGGCATTGAGCCTCTTCAGATGCTTCTTCAAACCTCTAGCCTATAAATAAATGAAAGCCTAAGTTTTTATATAAAATTTCCTCGATATATCCTCAACATGCATTTTGTTTCCAAAAATGTAAACGTAACGCTAAGTATGCAACATGATATATAACACAAAACCAATCAACTACTTTATGGTCTAAGGATCAATACACATGCGGAATGGCAAAGTTGTCTCAAAAAAGAAAACCATCCTCCATAAACAAGGTTCACAGAAGTCATGACTCATATTGTAAGGGAAAGTTATAGCATCAGACCCATTGAATAGGCCTATCCAAATACCACTTGAAGTAAATGGCCAAAATCACCAGAGAACTATAAATTAAGCCGTATAGATCATGTAATGGGTATTGGATCAACCCCGAATAAATACTCTATCTTCCGCAAATAAGTTACGAAATTGAGTACAACACCGAGACAGTAATGAAACTAAAAAATTTGATGACCTAAAAATTTATTAATTACCATTAGAAGAAAAGTATATAACCAGTACTCAATCCACAACTACAAGTAAAAACACTAAACTTATTTGAACCGATCTGGCACCCTATTAGTTTTCAGGTCGCATCTCTACAACAAAACTACAATAAAAATTTCACTATCAAACAAGTAGATTTTGGCATCAATGACATGAAACTGATTGACCACAACAAAAAATTGAACAAATCCAATGTTTCCTTCACAAAGTTTTTATTTTTCCACCGACCCAGTAATTAAAATATGTTTCTACATGATATAATCCATGAAAAAAATTTCCCTTCAAATTCTATGATATAATCCATGAAAAAAATTGTACCAACAAAACTCAGCAAAGTGTGTAAGATTGATAAATAGATGCATCGCAGTACATACAAAAAAAAACTTAATCAGTGAAGAAATGAAGGTTAGAAGAATGAACCATTTTGTTGGTCTAAGAATTTCTCTATATTTTTTTGCTGCTTCGTTGAAGAAGACGAGAGAAATACTTCAACCCTAATTTTTTTGTTATAACCTTGCAAGCCTATGGGCTATGGATAAGTTGGGGTGGGCTTTTAATGGGTTACTAATTTGGGCCTCCAACTACTTTTCATAAGAAAAAGAGATTAGAACAATAAAATTGTATAAAATAGCAAATTATTAATTCAAATTAAATGGTATAACCATAGTTTGATTTAATGTAACCCATAGCAAACAATTATCATTCGCCTCTCTCCCTGAATTTCTCGCTCGCCACTCTTCTGATCTCACTCAACATTCTCTCCCTCGCCTCTCTCACTATACAAACACAAATGTATAAAATGCGTCTGTGTTTGTATAAAGCGAGAGAAAATTGTATATACAAATACATATATTTTCGTCCTATATACTTATAATTATACAAATACAGATCTTCCCCTGTCCAATTTTCTTTTGTCTTTCTTTCTTTCTCGCTTTATACAAATATACAATTGATTCGTATATGTATACCAAAATATACATATTAATAGCCATATTCATATATGTATACTGAAATATACATATTAATAGTCATTCGTATATGCATACTGAAATATACATATTAATAGCCATATTCATATATGTATACTGAAATATACATATTAATAGTCATTCGTACATGTATACTGAAATATACATATTAATAGTCATTCGTATATGCATACTGAAATATACATATTAATAGCCATATTCGTATATGTATATCGAAATATACATATTAATAGCCATATGGTGCGCAATTATACAAACTATAACTACAACATACAAATATAATTTTTATGTTTGCTAAACCTAAAATTTACTCTACAATATATTACCAACTAATAAGATATCAAATTGGCATTCATTAGTCATGTTTTAAGAAATTATGTATGTGCAATAACGTATTTTGTAGATATACTTCTAATAAATTAATATCGGACTGTCGTACTTCATGAGTCTCTTGTTTAGCGAAGTATTTATTGTTTCAGCTAAACATGTGCAGTTTGTGTTAAATATATACGATCGAATTAAGTTTTGATTTTTTTTTTTACTCTGCGAAAGGTATCTTAATTACATATCGTGTTATTTGAGTTTATTTTAGAGGTAAAATATTATATATTTCGTCAATTTTGGTTCTCTCTATTGTTCATTCAACCTCTATTAAGATTGTCATTGATATTTCGAGGAATTGTCCACAAGTTTGTTTTGAAATAAGTAGTTATTCTTCTTTTTCAGTATGATAGATGACGTTATTCATTCAATATTTGATTTAACATTGTAAACTTATCAGATAAATATTTGTGAATTTAAATGTCATAAACAATACGAATAACTTGTGTATCAATGTAGTATGTGACATCTTGAACACAATGAAATAATTATAAAATTTTGGACATAGCTAAAATTAGTGTATGAAATTGGATATAAATTGTCTGTCAAATTTGAATAGGTGTTGTGATGTAAAAATTGTATACAACACGTATTGTGAACTAAGATGTCTGAAATATATGAATTAATTATGTATAACATATGTATAAAAACTAGTATGTTAAAAGTTGAACGTTTATATTACTATATATAATAAGTGGGAATATCTACTACTTAGCACATGACAAGTGTTGGATGGTATGTGCTTCATAGTGTTGTACATTCTTCTTTTATGGTTGTACCTATAAAATTTATATTATTGGACAATTTAACACCATTAATTACCTACTACTTTATTAGCCAAAAAGTTTAACCTCATTTGGGCCCATTTATTATTTATATGTTTTAATTTTCAATATATGTTGTTTATCTAATTCTTTTTTTCAACCTTTTATTTTAAACTTTTTGAAATTTAATTACCTATTTATTACTCTCTCTATGCACTTTTAGTTGTTATGATTTTCTTTTTAGAGTCAAACTATAAGAATTTTAGCTAATATTTTACAATGTGTTTTTTCATCATATTGATAGGCAAAAAATAACAATTTATAGTACCTTTTGTATAGATTTTGCATATTTAATTATTTTTTTTAAATATCGAATTAATACAATCTGATTTAACTTTGAAAATTAGTCAAATGGACTTTCAAAAAGCGCAACATGACAAATACAAGTGGACGGAGAGAGTATATTTTAGCTACAAAATATATTAGAGGTACAACTTTTTAAAAAATTTAAATTTTTATTGCGTTGACTCTTGAAATCTTATCATTGTCATATGAATTTGAACAAATTATATATTATTAAAAGTTACATAAAAGATGCTATAAATCACAATAATTAGCAATTAAAAATATTTTAAAATCATATAAGAAATTTGTTGACTAATTGGAATAGAATAAGTAACATGTACTATTTGAAAATAACGTCAAAATTTCTAGAATTCACAATAAATTAACAACTGAAAATATTTATGATTATTCACGTGAATTGAAACATGAGTAACCTATATTATTCAAAACTAACGCAAAAATACTATAAATCACAACAATTTAATAACTTCAAATATATTTTTAAGAAAACATATAAAAAATCGACTGATATTCAAATTCCATTTATATCACATAAATTAAAACAAAAAAAATAATATTTATTGGGCCCGTGCTGGCACGGGCACCAAATATCTATATATATGTGTCACAAATGGAAAAGTCCCAATCAAGGAAGCAACATATATCATTCTTCAAACATTTTAAAAAAAGAATATGAAAATTTGGATGACTCTCCAAATTTTATTTGTGTCACATAAATTGAGACAACAAAAATAACATATATTGGGTCCATTTTAATTTATTTGTCTTATTTTTATTTTTTATTTATTTAAAAATTGCGTAAAAATACTATAAATCATGATAATTGACAATATAAAATATGTTTTGAAAAAAATACAAAAAATTCCACTGATTCTTGAAGTGAGTCTATCGTTAAAATACTATAAATCATGATAATTGACAATATAAAATATGTTTTGAAAAAAATACAAAAAATTCCACTGATTCTTGAAGTGAGTCTATCGTTAAAATACTATAAATCATGATAATTGACAATATAAAATATGTTTTGAAAAAAATACAAAAAATTCCACTGATTCTTGAAGTGAGTCTATCGTTAAAATACTATAAATCATGATAATTGACAATATAAAATATTTCAAAAATATTGTAAGTGGGTAGTCTTATTATGCCTTAAATAGCGTGAAAGAAAGTACATGTTTGTGATAAAAAAAACTTATTCCTTTATCCACGCAAACAATCGCTTCAAAAACTCGGTTATTAGCCCCAAAACATACCATTTATATTATTGGGCTCGTGCTATGCACGGACCACATTATCTAGTATTTCAAATACACATGAATTACTATATTTTGTTGGAGTCCACTTTGCAATGAAAAAGTGGCTCCTGATTCAAAGACTTTTACGTTAGGTTATAAATTTTCTACCATATACAAAAAAAAACTTTGCTTCAAGTGTTGAGTCGCAAGTATTCCATCAAATCAAGAACAATCGTAAATAGAAGAATCAATGGATTACATATCTTTTCTTAAAGATTTTATAAAGATTGTAAGCTTCGCATAAATTCAAATACAAATACTATTTTTTGCTTGCTATTTTCCTTTCTTGTTTGCTGTATTTCAGGATTGAAACTTTAGACACAAACAGTGTGATCACGTCATTATCTTAATATTTTCTTCTCATTTTTTTTATATCGTTTTATCTTTATTTATTATTTAATAATTATATATATTTCATTTTTTTTACTATACCTTTTCATAGTAATTTTATCTCATAGCCTATTTTTCTTACAGATTTATCATCCAAATTATGAATGTGTGATTATATAACGATAAAGAATGACACAATTTATCAAAACACTATATTCATTAAAACAAGGGAAAAGGTCCTGATTTACCCCTAAACTTTATGATTTGGAGCTGATATACCCTCCGTTTAAAAAATGGCTCATATATGCCCCTGCCGTTATAGAAATGGCTCATATATGCCCTTTTACTTAACAGAAATTTTTTTAATAAATTAAAAATTCATTTTTTTT